CAGCGTGATTTCTAACAGTCCATCCATCTCAACTACAAATCCTTGTTGCTCGTGTTTTCTACGGTTGGGCGATCAGTAGCTCAAGTAACGTGGTTGCATTGGGAGCGCGAACCAAGAGCACTCGGGAGAAACCTTAGCTGTGCGAAATGTAGGCAACTACTGAAACAAACTAGAGATGGCATGGGAACAGTTCGCCTGTGTGTGCGTGTGTGTGTGGTATGGGGGGGGGGGGGCTCTGAAGTCTTGTAGGACGCACCCCTCCCCCATTATTGCTGACTATCTTTCTAGCATTTTCTTTCTTTCGAGACCAGTTTGATTCACGAAAGCCCCGCATCCAATCTCTCTTGACAGCCGTCGCCTGTGGGTGAATTGGCGTAGGTCGAATAGGAGAGGCGAGCTGCAGACACCAGACGAGCGGGCGCTTTCCAAAGCGCCTTCACGAGGTTGCTGCGAGCAGCCTGGAATCATATAAGCAAAATACTGTGAAAAGGGAAACCTTGTCTCAGGAACGTGTGTGTATGGATGCTTTCTTGAAGCACAGGCCAATCCGGTGTCAGCCTATTAAATGAAAACAAGGGGCTCGTTCCAACCCCCTTGGAAACGAAGTCTGTCTAAGTGGCGAACCCGACACTTTGGAGGATACATAACTATATACAAAAAAAGAGGAGACGGAGTATGAGAGAGAGAGAATATACTATCGTGGTGGTGCGCCAATCCGCGAAGGTCGTCTGCACAGCATCCCGCGCACAGCAGCAGCTAAATCTCTCGCGCACCTTCATGGGAAAAGTGAACTATACAAGAAGGCCCGTACAAGCCCCAAACACTGAGACGCTCATTCGAGCGGCCGCATTGTTGATTCTTTTTTTTTTTTTAATTTCTTTCGCTCATCAAAGTGCAATGTCCCTTCTCCGGCTCTTGGAGGGGAAGAGGAATATAACAAAACTGCCCGCCGCACTCCCCCATTTTCTCCGCCTCATCCTACTCGTGCATCCCCACTTCCTCGCCCCCTTCCCACCAACCGTGACAGACTGTGAGTGAAGAGTCGGGCAACAGGGCACGGCAACAACGAGGAACACCGCAACGACGAAGCGACTACGGACAGCTTGTGCTCGCCCCTGTGTTCGCAGTGTGTCCCGAGGACCTACGACAAAACGAGAGCGCGCGCACACACGCATGGACTCTCCGCAGTGATGGTGAATAAGCGTGTGCGCATACTGTGATCCATTCGAACATTTTACTGTTCTTTTTTTTTGTTTTTATTTTCTCGTACGCATGTAGTATGACTGCGTCTCTCTCTTTTTTTTTTTCGTTTTTTCTCCAATACTTCTACGAGACATTTTTTCCCCTTTTCCTCCGTCTTCTTTTGGTGTCTTTCTCTGCCGGGACCATGTTGTTATTTTTTTTTCTTCATCTCGTTACATATGGCCCGGCTACCGCCGTTATTCAGGAAGTGTTGCTCCCTGGGACGTTCCCGGGAAGTTCCCGGTACGCATCCCCGGGACGTTCGTGCCCTTGTACATTGCGCCATGTTTATTTTGTGACATACCGTTGTTATTATTTTAACTTGCGCTCTTTTCCATTTTTTTTTCTCTCGAGCACGTCGGAGGCAGAACCAGTGTCTTCTATACACAGTGTCTATACTATAATATACAACATGGCGGGCGCTTCGCCATCGCCATCTTGAACAGGGTATCTACATTCAACGCGCCTCGTACGGCTCGCTCGCGACAACGTGAATACGCAGAGACGCGCGGCGCGATTGTTGTGCGACTGTGTCTCTGAGCTGCGACATTTTTGTTCACGAGTGACTCGGCTATTCCAGGTATAGACCCCTCCCGCGCGACGTCGGCGACAAAGTCACAAACGGTCATACTTACGCACCAGCGACACCTGCAAAACGCGTTAAGTGAGATGCGAGTGACTATACGCGTGCAACGGCAGTGGTGTCCTCTAGTGCAGCTGTTTGGCAGCTGCGCGATCTCTGTCAACTATAACTAAGATCACCTAATCTAAACACAGTATCGTTTTCTGTCTCTGTTTTTCTTCGAATAAACATGGTACTACAAACGCCGTTACCTGTTAACAAACTTAGCACCGGCCAAACGGTGTTACGTCAGTTCGATGCAGAAGCGGATTCTGGATAGGTTCTGCATGGATAGATGAAAACAGGGATTCGCTCAGATTAATGTAACATAGAGGGAGACAAAAAAAAAATGATCCGCATAGTTAACGTGCCTGAAATACCACTTTGCCGATTGCCTAGACACAGAGATGCATTAACATCCCCTTTTCCAGGCTGTAGCCGAGGGGTCATTAACGTTGTTACACTCATCGCCAGTCGAACGCGATGGTCTGCAGGCTGTCGTTGCACGCGCAAGTCTTCGTCATCCGCTTTGTTTTCGCACATGCGCAGTATAGGCAGCTACAAGGCAGCGGATCTATGCTACATTATATTTATTAGCGTTTTAGCTCGCATTAAGTACGAATATTATATTTTCAGAGGTACTTTATACACTGTTCACGTGACTGAGTTTTGCGATTGATGCCCAACGCCGGGTCAACGCAAACGATAATCTTAAGAAAACAGGGTGTGGTTAATCTGCCGGATTGAATTTTTCTTAGCACTTCCATTAAAGAGACGCAAGGGCTAGGTCGGAATTCCTGGCCTTTCCCCATAGGTGGAAAAAAAGGTCAATACACTTTACTAATGCGCACAACAGGCTGTCATCGTTGTTGTCGCCAATAAAAAAAGGAAGGCTTGAGGATTACGGTGAGAGGCTTTGCATTCCTCGATCGATAAACGTGCATGTGAAATGCAGTTCTTTCTTGTAACTTTTTTTCTCTAGAAACGAAAACACGGACTGTGTCGTACTTAATAGCGTGAATAGCTTAGGAATAGGGCAGTTTGAGGCTATAGGTGTCGGGACCTTCTCTTTGTCCGTGCAGCTGAATATCGGGGTTCAGATGAGGGTCTTTTTCCTCACGCGCCACAAGAGTTCAAACGCTCTAATGCTCCACTCTCGAAATTCGTAGTCTCAATTTGAACATCAATTGTCCTCTTTGCGACGCACTGCATCGCAAAATGTGGCAGCCAGTAGAGCTGAAGCAAAACCCGAGAAGATGCAGTGCAGTAAAGGAAAGTTTATTCAAACAGTACGCGCAAACAATGGAGACGCTTATACCCTAAAAACTTCCAAATTGCCTTAGTAAAATTTATACAAACGCTAAACGAAATTTCACACACTCCTATGCTGATATTCAAGACATCGCCAAGGCTATAGCCACTTGCGTTGTCTCGCAATTTCTCGCTGCCGTTGAAGAGGATCACATCCTCTGCACCAGTGGAGGCAATGCAGTCGGATCAGTTTGTATTACACAAGGAAAATTTGCTTTTAGAGTTCCACGCTTCGAGAGATGATATTTGACCTCTGGAGCCCAGGTTTAGCCCTTGTTATAAGATTTGAAATGGCGCCACCTAGCTGTTTCACCGCAGGTGTATAGCTACGCAAACTTACACTATATGCGCTCGGCGTTACATCAGCTCAATATTTGTGTCTCCGAACTCTGCTATGTGCGATGATTTCACACTGCAGACACCTTTCCAGTTTCTAAGGCTAAATAGAGAAACAAAACGAGCTGACAAAACAGGTGTACAATCAGTGACAACTTCAACAATATAGTTTGGCCCAGCTAGCACTCCAAGACCCAACGTGGCCGCCCCTTTGTAACTCTGACTGTAACGACGCCGATATAATGACACCTGATCCATTTGGCACGTATTTAATAAGCATACTCGCTTCAACGCCCAAACAGTATTCGTTAGTGCAGAGGGTTTCTTCAAAGGATCAGCCAATTCTGTCTTTAACCGTGCGTACCGTAACAAACGCATACAAGGTCAAGAGTATTTTTTTTTTCGGTGCGGTAAGCGCCCGGACGAAGATTTACAGCTTCTTCGCGCATGCTCAAACCTTGACAGACGTCGTTGCCGAAATTGTTGGACGGCTGGGTGTAAATAAGAGGCCCGTTCAATGCGATTGCGCGAGCACTGCAGCCTTCGAATGGCCGCGCGTGCGCATTTTAGGAAGACAAGAAGACAGACAATTGCTTAAGCTGCAGGTGCGCATGCGCGTACACCACTGGATGTACAGGGAAACACAAAACCAATCGGAGAAACCAGGGTCGTGGAGCATCGTTTAAGAGACCGTACTTATTTTTTTCCTCTTTTTCTTTCGCTCTCTCTTCTAGATGCTCCACTTTAGGTATATAAATAAATGAGTCTATAAAGAATTATACATAGTATATATATATATAAACGATTTCCCGAATTATGTACAGGTTTTAAGACGTCTTATGTACAGTTTCTACACGCCTTCTACTGTAAGTAATGCCTCGAGAGACTCCGCGGAGGCTGAAAGTGGTCGTGCAACATTCGGGCGTTGTTGTCGCTTACACGTTTCTTTCATTGTCGCTTCAACCATGCCAACGCGCAGCATCAGCCTCTGCCGAGGCCCCACAATCTAACAGGGTATTCCGAATACGTATGCCTTATGTCATCGTTGCTTCTCAAGCTGACTTTATCGGCATTTGAGGAGGGTAGAAGCAGCGGAAAAAAAGGAAAGAAGTGAAAACTACTGAGCTCTGATTTATTTGCGCGTTTCGCATAGCATCGCCTTATAGAAAATGAAACATGTAGCGCGCGCTGGGATGTTTCAGGTGTGCAGTAGGTCATTTAGAAGCCCTGTGATGCACGGCCGTGCGGTCGCAGAAAGTGTGTAGTTGGGAAGCGGAAATCGGCTGCGATAATGGCACTGTTGTTCCGTGTAAATTCTGCCAATCTCCTATCTCTACTCTGAACTGTCTCTTGATTTTTTTTATAAATTGCTTTCTGCTCACCACGTGTCCCGTGCACGTTTCTCGTTTTAACTTATTGTGTTTTGCGAGGAGGCGTTTGCGTTTCTGTAAACGATGGCTGAATAAAAAAAAAACGTCAGAAGATGAAACGTGTCGTCTGTGTATACTTCATGTGATACTGCTTAAGAATCATGACGTAATAACAGGCATGACAGTCATGACATGGCGTATTGATGCCTGTGCGAGTGTTTGTGTGCCGTCGTATCTTACAAAGACCATGTCACTAAACGGGTCACTAAACTTACGGATAGGCCTAAGCATGTCGCATTTATGTGTATAAACCTGACATGGAAAATATTTTCATACACGGACCAGGTCCTGCAAGATTTGGATAGAGGGAATTCGACGGATATTACAGACACGTACGTACCATCCAACGTCTGTGTACTTGCTCATATTATTGCGTGCACCGGCCAATCAGAAATTTTAAGGGTGCAAAAGGAATACCATCTTGCGCGTTCATGTTGCGCAGAGTTTATAAAGAGCTTTATACATACGTGTGCTAGAAAATACTGCATGACAGAGATAGTACACCGAATGAGGCCTGACTCCGCATACACGCCGGCTTGGTCATTCAAGACTGGGCGAGGCACTTTCCCGTGTTGTGCTTTCCGTGGTGACATGTATCGGCGACATCGGATATTTTATCTGGCTGCGCCCACGTTTTGATATGGAGTGCAGTGATGGTATACGCAGCTTGCAAAAAGCTTTTACAGGCACGAATAAATTGGAAGACGTCATTTCTCCTGAAAGGCCCACGGCACAATGGAGGAGCGTGCAAAGGGTTCTCATGCCTTTCCTGCGAGACAATGGGCACTGTGACACTTAGTGACGGAGACCATCAGGCGGAACAATCGTCGGTCATTTAGGCCAGACTAACCCCGCCTGTTGAAACACCACGACCACTTTCCGCAATCTGTGTAATGGTGCCTTTTTTGTTGTTGTTTTCACTTGTGAGGCCACTTGAAAGGCTTGGCAAGTCACACCCAGAAACGTTCTTCTACCATACAGTGACATGTCACTTCGAGACCAATGAGCACCTCGTCGAAGAGCAGACTATGCTAAAAAAAAACAAAATGTTCGCTTTCGTTAATATTGCCACCTAGAGTTGTGAGCCGGCAAGCCCTAGCGAGCCGAAAAGCGCAAGGAGAACGAAGAAGAAGTGTGGTTAGCGCCTCGTTTCGAAGATACACGCTCGTGTCTTTCTGCCCCGCTGTTCCTGTCCCTTCTCTACGGCTCTTGGTACGTGACAAACTGGTGGAAGTGCTGGGTAATCTATGCACCGTACCCCTCCACATACCAGGAACACAAGCGTCGTACCGGTGGTCACTCCTGTGCACCGCGCCAGCAGAAGGATCCGAGGGCAATCCCCTGAGTTTGGACTGCTCGCAAACAACATGGCAGCTCCGACCAGCCATGCCGACACCAACCCAACCGGTACGAACGGCACAACGCCGCTCCATTGCACATTACTCACACCGCGAACGCCAAATCCTTTTCATGGCACTGCACTTGAGGATGTGGAAGATTGGCTTGTCCATTACGAGTTCGTTGCCGTGCACAACCAGTGGGACGACGCAGACAAGCTGCGGCACGTCTATTTCAGTCTTTTGGATGGCGCACGTGTCTGGTACGAGAACCGGGCAGGTATTCTTACATCATGGGAAGACTTCAAACGCCGACTTCTTGCGACATATGCAAGCCCTGACCGTCGGGAGAGAGCTGAGCGCGATCTGCAGTCCCGCATACAACTACCAAATGAAGGGGTTGCGATGTATGTCGAGGAAATGACGCGCCTCTTCCACCGAGCTGACCCCGGCATGCCAGAAGAAAAGAAGGTACGGTACCTCATGCGCGGGGTGAAAGAGCAACTTTTCGGTGGGCTTGTACGCAGTCCACCCAAGACTGTGTCAGAATTTCTCACGGAAGCTGTCACCATCGAAAGCACCCTTAGGCACCGGGCCCCGTCATACGAGCGGCACGTCAATGCTTCAACTACGGACTACTTTGGAGCTTTCGGTGGCCAAATGGATTTTTTCCGAGAGCTCATACGTTCAGTCATCCGCGAAGAACTCCAGAAGCTGTCAGTGCCCTCGCAGCCCCCTACCTCTTCGTTCTCCAGCGTTGTCCGAGATGAAGTCCAGCATGCTTTAAGAGAACCATCTTGCATGCGGGATTATCAACCACCCGGTGACTTCCCCCGCTTGTCGTATGCTCAAGCTTTGCAGCAACCTGTAACACCCGCAATCCCGCATCCCACCGTGGCCCCAGCTATGCTGCAGACGGTCCAAGCGGCGCCATATTACAGCGCACCTCGCCCGATCCCGCGAAAATCAGACGTCTGGCGTGCGCCTGATCGACGTCCTCTCTGCTTCCACTGTGGCGAAGCTGGGCATCTTTACCGACACTGTTCTTACCGGCAACTTGGACTACGCGGATTTTCGACGAACTCACCACCACCCAGGTTCGGTCAGCGGCCCCCTGATATTGAAGAGTATGTGGCTCAACAGCGCGGAACTTCGTCATCCTTTCACCAGTCACGCTCCCCGTCGCCGCGGCGATTTTCTCCTAATCGCCGCACCTATCCGAGCGTGGCGCAGGGTCGGTCCCCCAGTCCGCGCCGGGAAAACTAACCACAGCGACCTTCGGGGGCGAGGCTGCTCATACTGGACAAGCTCAAGGCCTCCTACCGACGCTTCCGCAAACTGAAGATTCCCCGACGACGACGACACCAGCTGATTCCGAAAAGGTTTCATTAGATATTCCAGTGCTGCTCGACGGTCGCAAAGTCACTGCTTTAGTTGACACGGGTGCGGATTTTTCTATAATAAGTGAAAAACAGGCTGCTCTTCTAAAGAAAGTGACGATGCCTTGGAACCTCAAGCCAATTCGTACTGCTGGCGGGCACATCGTCATGCCACTCGGCGTTTGCACAGCACGAATACAGATTCGTGGTTCAACCTTTGTTATCAGCTTGAGCGTTCTCCGTCAGTGTTCTCGAGACCTGATCATTGGCATGGACTTCCTGAGGGAGCACGGTGCTATCATCGACATTCGACAACGCCTCGTCACGTTCTCAACAAAAAGCGCCACACCAGAGCATAATCCCGACCACAATCGAGTATGTCTGCGGGTAATTGACGATGCTGTGACGATACCACCGCGCTCAAGTGTTATGGTTCAAGTGGCTGGTAACAAATCAGCACACGGTGAAATGGTGGCGGAGAGCAATCGATCCCTGCTCTTTTCCCAAAGTGTCTGCGTAGCACGAAGCCTAGTAGACCTTCACGATGGCCATTGCGAGGTTTTTGTTACGAACTTCAGCTACGAGCGCCGACACCTTTTCCCTGGTACTGTCATCGCCTATGCCTACCCAGTAACTAATGTGACTGAGTGTTTTGCTTCCGAGGCAACCGATAATACCGAAGCACCTCTCCGGGGCGTCGACATAAATGCAGCGCTTTCTGACGAAAACAAACGAAGGCTTAACGACCTGTTGATAGAATTCCACGCCTGTTTTGCACGTTCATCGAGAATCCGCCAAACATCGATTACCAAACACCGTATTATCACCTACGGCGACGCGCACCCTATACGGCAACAGCCTTACCGCGTTTCACCAACCGAACGACGCGCGATTCAGAAGCAAGTGAAGGAAATGCTTCAAGACGGTGTAATACAGCCATCAAGTAGCCCTTGGTCATCGCCAGTGGTCCTTGTAAAGAAGAAGGATGGTACACTTCGCTTTTGTGTCGATTATAGGAAGCTGAATAACGTCACAAAGAAAGACGTGTACCCGTTGCCTCGAGTGGACGATTCTCTTGACAGGCTGAGGCGAGCAAAGTACTTTTCCTCAATCGACCTCAAAAGTGGTTATTGGCAAATTGAAGTCGATGAACGTGACCGCGAAAAAACGGCTTTTGTAACTCCTGACGGCCTGTATGAGTTCCGAGTGCTCCCATTCGGCCTCTGTTCCGCTCCGGCCACATTCCAACGAATGATGGATACCGTTCTCGCTGACCTCAAGTGGAAAAGTTGCCTCGTCTATCTAGATGATGTCGTTGTCTTTTCAAAAACGTTTGACGAGCACCTTCATCGCCTTCGGAGTGTTTTTGAAGCCATACGATCCGCTGACCTTACCCTCAAGCCAGAGAAGTGCCATTTCGGCTACAATGAACTGAAGTTCCTCGGTCACGTTGTGAGCGCTGCAGGCGTTCGGCCCGATCCCGAGAAGACTGCCGCTGTGGCCTCTTTTCCAGCTCCGACAGACAAAAAAAGTCTTCGGCGATTTCTGGGGCTCTGCGCCTACTATCGCCGTTTTATTGAAAACTTCTCTAAGGTTGCGGAGCCTCTCATCAGACTTACGCGTGACGACACCCCATTTCAGTGGACTGACGAACAAGCGACTGCCTTTGCGGAACTGCAACATCGATTGTGTTCCCCTCCTTTACTCGGTCATTTCGATGAGGACGCTGACACAGAGGTGCGCACTGACGCAAGCAACATTGGTCTCGGAGCTATCCTGCTGCAAACACAAGATGGGATTGAACGTGTGATTGCCTACGCGAGCCGCACTCTATCACGTGCCGAAACCAACTATTCAACGTCAGAGAAGGAATGTCTCGCGGTAATATGGGCGATTACAAAGTTCAGACCCTATGTATATGGGCGCCCATTCAAAGTTGTGAGTGATCACCACGCTTTATGTTGGTTGGCTAACCTCCGAGACCCCTCTGGGCGATTAGCACGATGGAGTCTGCGACTTCAGGAGTTCGATATCACCATTGTATACAAGTCGGGTAGAAAGCATGAAGACGCCGACACGCTATCACGAGCACCTCTGGAGTCCGACCATACAGCTGTAGAAGACGACAGCACCTTCCTGGGGACTCTCAGTGGGGCGGACCTCCTCAGTAAGCAACGAGCGGACCCCGAGTTAAGACCCATCATCGATCATTTAGAAGGCAGCACCGCGTCTGTTCCTCGTCCCCTTTCCCGTACGTTGCCGTCATTTTCTTACGACACGACATATTATACAAGAAAAACACTGGTGTTGGCAGCAGATCTTATCTTCTAGTCGTCCCTCATG